TAACCGATTGTGATTTGAAATTCTGGAAATTTTTTAGAAGTGGGGAATGAGTGGGTAGGTTGATTGGAGCATACGTTGGAGTGGTCATTTGAGCAGTTTGCCAAAGGGATCGTGAATAGCCGTCGGAGAGAGCGTCGGGGTGATCTTCGGAATAGTCGTCGGAGTGGCCGTAGGAACTGTCACCGAAGCGGCAGCCGGAGAGATCGCCGAAGCGACCGCCGGAGTAGATGGTCGCCTCCGATGGAGAGAAGGGGTAGGAGAGAATAGAGAGTAGAAAGAGAATGATTTGGATTTGATTTAACACCTGATTTGATTATATTATAATTAAAAATATTTAATTAATTGATTTAACACCTGATTTTTGAAATTTGTTATTTTTGAAATATAATCCTTATATATAGGATTTATGTAGGGCAAATTAGGCCCAGTACCCTAAAATATTAACTAAATTGATTAATACCCTAATAACTAATTAAATAATTTAAAATCGTAATTAATACGTTATAAAACCTCCAAACCCCCTCCCCAAAACCAGCCAATATATCTTTCACCATATTGTCACTGCCAGAATTAGGAGACATTTGAACACTACCGTGCCTTCCAACACCACCAAATAAGTGCTCTTCGACCTCTTTCCTTTCTCAAATTCTACTCAAATGGTACCATCGAGAGGTTCGTGGACACAACTAATGTCCTACCATCGTCGAAAGACCCAACTACTGGCATTCGATGGGATTTCAACATACATTCCGGGCCTGCCCCTCTTTAATTCATACGGTTTAGTCTTAGTTTCATTTTCCCCCAAAATTTTTGATAATTTTAAATCTGAAGTTTAATTATTATTTTTTTCATTTGCAATCAGAATTCTTGTTCAGTTTGCATATATGAGTTGTAGACTAATAGCAATATCTATGGTAATAGCAATAAGGACCCAAGTGAAGTGCATAGAGGAGTAAACAGGAATCATGATGAGACCGTTGGATTAACGCTTATGGAGATTGCCTTGTGGTGGGTTTGCTTTGGGCTGACTTTCGGGAGGGAGGAGGGATGTGGAGAAGGAGTTAGCAGTAGGTCTATGTATCATATTCT